TCTCTTTCAAGTCTTTTCTTTATCTGTGGGGAGATTTTTCCAGTATTCACTGCCATACAAGAGATTATTTATTACACAGTATTTCAGCATTCTTTCTACGTTGCTTATCTCTTTCTACGTTGCTTATTTTCTAGAATGCATCTTTCACTGTCCCTATATATTTTCGGGTTTTTATGACTTTTTCGTTATTTTATACAGGTGTTGACAAAATAGAAACACTTGGAAATTTCAAACAAATTTATTTTAATCTGGTGTAGGATCGCCTTTGGCAGTAATTGCAGCTTGAATTCCACCAGGTATAGACTCGTACGAAGTTTAAATGGTTTCCAGAGGAATTTTTGTCCGTTCTTTTGCCAAAACAGTCTCAAGTTCTTTCAGTGATGATGGTGGAAGATACCGACTCCTTACTTGTCTTTCTAAAATTCACCATAAATTTTTAAGAGATCTGGGGTCTGTGGTGGCCAGATAAGATGGTCTATTTCACTATGTTCTTTGTGCCACTCAGACACAATTTTAGCTGTGTGAATTGGTGCATTATCATCATGAAAGATTGCTTCCCCCCAAGAAACAGTTCCGCAACCATAGGATGAATTTGATCTGATAAAAGTTTGAAATAGTCTTGACTTTTAATCCTTCTATGAAGGGAAATCATTGGACCGGCAGATTTCCAAGATATACCTCTCCATTCCAGATAATCACAGAGCCTCCTCCATGTTTAACAGTTGGAAAATACAGTCTGGATCAAATGTTTCTTTAGGCTGTCTCCACACGTATACTCGACCAAATGTCGGAAATAGGATAAACGATGACAGGTCTGAGAAAATAGCATTCTTACACTGTTCTAGGGACCAATTCTGTAGGTTTCTACTACACTCTAAGCGTTTTGCAATATTGCTCTGTGGAAGGAGCGGTTTTCTGATTTTCTCCCGTGAAATCCGACTTTATGCAGCTCCCTTCTTACAGTTTTTGAGGAAACTGGGTTCTCGAGATGGTCATTAAGTTCTACTGTAATTTTCTGAGCTGTATTCTTTCCTAACACTCAGCGTAAGAGTCCGACCAACTCTATTAGACAGCTTTTGCTTTCTTTCAGAGTTTTGATTTAGTGACGAGATTTTTCCTTCTTTCTCAAATACTGTCATTACTTTCGAGACAGTACTCCTTGCTACGCCAAATAATTCAGCGCCTGCCATACTAGCACCAAAAATTTGACATCTTTTAAATTCTGATAGATCTGCCATTTTAATAATTTTTCATTAATTTACTCTGTGATATCTGCAAAAAAACAACAATTTTAGTAAAGTAAGACAAGAAAAAATTAATAATAAATCAAAAAACATAAAAATAACAAACGTTTGATGGTATTATAGACGTTTCAAAATTATGATACTAAGATTCTAGATTATTCGGACTATTGTCCTCATCTTTGTCGCCATATATTGTCGTTAGTTAGATCCAGTGACAGGACCCAAAGAGTGTGAGTTCAATATCCGGTTGAGGCAGTGGAGAACTTGGAGAGGGGAATTAACACAAGATAACTGATAACTGACATCCATTAAACATGGAACGTGGAACTAGAACAGTCTACCTCAGTGAGCGAAATAAAGGTTTCAGTTTGACATTCCAACCACCTGAAGAAGGCCGGAGTGTACAAGGTCCGAAACGTAAGAAGTAATAAATATGGCGACAAAGATGAGGACAATAGTCCGAATAATGTAAATAGTGTATATAATACCTCATCTCAGAAATATAGACAAATACTGAAGGATCGGATAAATATGGCGACAAAGATGGGGACAATAGTCCGAATAATGTAAATAGTGTACATAATACCTCATCTCAGAAATATAGACAAATACTGAAGGATCGGATAAATATGGCAACAAAGATGAGAACAATAGTCTGAATAATGTAAATAGTGCACATAATACCTCATCTCAAAAATATAGACAAATACTGAAGGATCGGATAAATATGGCGACAAAGATGAGGACAATAGTCCGAATAATGTAAATAGTGTACATAATACCTCATCTCTGAAATATAGAAAAATACTGAAAATTTTAAATGTTTCCATTATTTTGTCCAACCCTTGTAGTTTAATATCTGAACCTGTTTAATTTAGAGATACGCAATAAATAACTCTTACTTTGGTCTCTTGCCTTACCTAACAGTTATTCTGTCTTCTTACAGTTAATAAACATATTTGTTGTATTTATTTAAAGCTTTGTTTAAGAGATTTTTAACTTTTCTTTTTGAGTCCGCCATTTAACACAGTTTCATCCGCATGTCGTATATTATTAAGATTATATCTGCTAATAATAAATCCAGCTAATTTTCATGGATCTGTTAGGATAGTATCGCTGGATAAGGGAAATAAATCTGGTTGGAAAATGCATGCTTGTCTTCATCCCCTTTTTATTCACTGAACTCGTCCCCTATTCGTATGCAGGCTGTTTGTTCCCAGGAAAGGTTAGGGATTATTCGAATCTCTGCCTTGAGCAAATCAAACTTTTTTTTAATACTTCTAGTCAGTCTTTTGCTTGTAGCGTTTCAAATGACTTTCTGTAATCTATGAAACATATGGATAGTGGCTCGGATTGAGGAATCGGAGAGCCGAGTTCGAATTCCAGTCGGATGACGGGAAAGGTATGAATACCCTTCTCCCCCACCCCACATTCTCAGGATATTTGAGAGAAGTCTTTCAGAAAAGACAGCCAGTAAATTTCAGGTATTTTATCGAAAAAGGAAAATCAGTTTTTGGTAAATTCGTCATATTGAGTAGGAGGCAAAAGCCAAACCATTGTAATGTTATATTGGTAACATCAGACTAGATTTTTCTTTCGTAAAATAATTATTATTCAATTCATTTGTGAGGAGATTATGCAACATTTACTGATCAAATATGAGGATTAATATTGCATAGTAGTTCAGTTGAACTGACGTCGGCAGAATCAAGGGTATATGGTTTCGGGTTTTGCGTCGAGCGTTCGATATGCCACTTGTCCGTTAGTATTTCGAGCATATATATGTTAACCTCCATTTATCTGGTTGTTTTGGCTTTATATCCTAAGTTTATCTTGATTAAGTTTCTTGTTTATGTTAGTACACCCACCTCTATCATTTGTAGCTCTATTTTGTATTTTGTGGATTTGAGGTCACCTTTTAGGACAACCTTCGAGTCTCCTCGGTCTTTTGACCTTCTGCGGTCACAACGATAACAAAACAACTCAGTACATTTTGGGATCACCACAGATCAACTCTTCTTAGATCAAAGTTCCTGATGAATATTGAATCCGACTAAGACCTCAGATAGTTCCCGGTGGTAATCAAATACTACACTATATATTAACCATAAGAGAAATATATTTATCTTTTAATCGATATTATTAAATAGAGTCTCAAATGATACAGATGGGTTTACTAGATACACTTAGGATATAAAAAAAGAAAATTGATAATTGCAAGTTGTATAAACGTCCGGACAACGAAGAGACGAATAGAATATCGAACAGTCGATGCAAAAACCCAAAACCACATACCCTTGATTCGGTCGACGTCAGTCTAACTTAACTGCGATATGATATCAATCCTCGTATATGACAGTGGATGTTGGATAATTTCCTCACAGATGAAGAGAAGACATGCGGCAATAGACAACCGTTTTAAGAGAGAACTGTCCAGGAGAAGATCACAAACGGAGCATGTGAGCGACGTGGAAAATATAAAATTGATAATTCTGGCACGCTTTATGAGGAAAGAAAAACGGTGAAACTAATACTCGCAAGGCATTGAAGGCAAGATGGGTAGAAAGACACTGCGAGTAATCTACCTAGCCAGCTTATGTTAATAGGTAGCAGTACATGGACTGGGAAGGATAGATAGGAAACAACCATTTCTTAGAGTAGGAATAGGATCGTTGTGGAGAGGCATAATCGCTCATATCCTAAAAGAATACGACACGGAAAAGGAAAATCTACTTGAATATTAAGAAAGTTATAATATTGTGTATTATCTGAACATATTCTCTTACAGCATAGCGATTTCTGTTATATTATCGTCGAATGTCAGCATTTCTAATAGTGTTCATGTCCTGTGCGTACATCAGCACGTTATGTTCAGTTGATTATATCAGCAAATCCCGAACAAGATAATTGGTTCAGCCACAGTCATGCTATCTGTTCAGGAAGCTTTCCCGTTCACCGAATGCAATACTTTTCTGTAGATAGATACCAAATGAATCAGCTTTGAAGCTAACATCTGAGTTACTTGCAGAGTTTGATTATAAAATGAGTACAGTGTTGAATATTTCAGAGATATTGTGCACGTTTCAAAAAGGTTAAAGAAATGAATATAATCATCTGTCTGCTTAGTTCGACAGTCAAAGTAATTAATATAACAGGTGTCGTGTTAGTCGGTAAGATAACGTAGATGATTTTACACTTATTTTGTCGTAGTATTTGTGTCACGCAATCGTTTTCTTAGGAGCCATGCAGGCTGTATCATCATCATCATCATCATCATCATCATCATCATTTATTCAGCTAGCGTATTTTGCCTCGCAGTAGTCACCACTCCCCTGTACTTCATGGTGGCATTTAAGGTAATGTAGTACAATATCTTGCTGGGTTCTTTTGCACCGGGGATGTTGTGGTTACCCCGTCTCTCTTTAAAAAAATCCTTGCCCACTTATAAAGCTGTTCCTTCGCTCAGGCTAGCCGATGGCCGCTTGGTACGTGTGAGTTATGGAGAGAAGTTCATCTTCACTGATCGCTCGAGAAATCCTTCTGGCTACCCTTACACAGTTTAGGCGGCAGATCGATGCCGTTGAACGGGGTGTAACCGTCGCAGTGCCCATGCGATTTTTGGAACCATGCGTCAGAGTTAGATATAGGCCGTGGGCCAGTACAGTTTCCCATCTCAATTCGCCACAGTAAATCAGGGTCGTCTGCTTTGCTACCACTTCTGAATGAGAAGGCTAAATATTTACCATTTTTTCTTACGAGAATACTGGATTTAAAAGTCAAATTAAACATTGCAGCTATACATTTACAGGTCAGCAATTCCACTGCCTCCTCTCTGCGATGTGTGGCGGCTCTTGAGAGGAGAGGGTGATCGATCGTGTGAAGAAGAGTCAGTAAGTGAAAAGGAACCCGCGCACGCTTCGTACCCGCCGCTGTTCTGTGTCGAGCGGGTCTCATGGACGGCAAGCTCTACCATTCCACTCGCATTCGGTTTGGGAGCATGGCTGTCAGAACAAAGTGTCAGTTGGGATACTGAATAACATTCATCGTGTATATCCGCCTCTGCGACGTATCAAATTGCAAAATCACACATTGCGAGTTTTACTCATCGGTCTCTCTAACGGGGAAAGTCACCAGCTTTCATATATATATTATATTTCCTTTTGGAATATATGAAAACTTTGGTGTCACATGCCTTCGAAATTTCCAAGATCAACGCATCCTTCGATTCTCAAATGCTCGAAATACAATGTTGAATGTGCGAGTCCCTGGGAGATTTTTAAAAGTTCAACTCTAGCCTTCGGCATGTAGCTAAAACTATGGAAGCACGTATGGGTGTAATATACATTAATTTATTTGAAAAAAGGTGAGTACCGTATTTGACGACATATAAGGCACACTTTATTTTACTAAAAATATCTTTAAAAATTTCTCTGCGTCTTATATGCCATATGTAGGTTTAAAGGTTGCGATAGTCGGCCGAAATTAGCTACCTGGAAACTCCTATTAACTTAGACTTAAACATGAAGGCGCAATTGAACACGTAGATGTCAATGACTGATCATGACCTTACACTATACAGGAAGAATAGTAAAAACCCAGCATTGCACAAGTCTGCGAATGGGTGAAGCAAGCTTGGGATAATATTAGACCAGAAATTGTGAAATCTTTTTAAAAGAGTAGCATTAGCAATGCTCTCAGTGGAACGGAAGATGACACTTTATTTAACGACGATGATAGTATTATGGAAAATGAGTATCAGAGTTTTGATAACGAAGACGACGAGATTTGAAGATGAATCAAATTTTAATGGTAACTACCGTTTCTGCTCACTTGTAATAATTGCTTGATTTTTATTTTGTTTTCTTAACTTTGGATATAATAAAGTTTTTATAGGCTCGTGTTCTTTTTATTTTTCTTTTATTTTTCGTTTAATTGTAATCATGGTTTGTTTAACCAAAATAATACCTCATGAATATAAACATTTACTAATAATTTTACTAAATTTATTCACTGCTAATTTTATCTTGATTTACCCTGCGGAAATTGGGATGCGCTTATATACCCGTGCGTCTTATATGCCGTCAAATACAGTAATTAGGTTAAAGATTAGCTTTTTTTTCCAACTTGGAGTTGATTTGTTATATCTTCTTCTTTATGTGTTGTGTCCCCTGCAATAATGGCTTTCAACAACTTCCTGTTCCTTACTGCTCGTAATAAATGATGTCTTTCTGTTTCTGTCCTAAACACTTTCCGCCATCCATTTACTCAAGCTCGCTATGTATTTTATATATTGTTTTTTTTTCTGTCTCTCTTGCCTTCAATCTATCGTGTGATTATCAGATTTTCCAAGCCAACTTTCTTTATTATCTACCCAAGAAACTTCAACGGTCTCTTCTTGATGTTAAATATAAGTGACCATTTCATTTTTTCTAAAACTTCATTGTTGATCCCATAATCAAACCATGGTATCATCAGCGACATTCTATCGAACCATATTTCTGTTGCTTCAAATCCCTTCTTCAGGAGACAGTTCAGCACTCATTGCTATACAGAAGGAAAATATCATTGAACAGTTTAGTGCTCTTTTCTGTGTTTCTAGCGAAGATTTTATTAAATTGATTTATGTAATGTTTTTTATCAGATTTTGTTTCTCCTTTCATCTCAGTGAATTAACTTCCACACTTTCTCCATCTCCTGTTTTATTCTTTCTTGTACCCTTTCTTTCTTTAATTTATCATTTTCCCGCTTACGCTGTCTATTTCTTTTAGATTCGTCATAGTTTCTCAATCTTCCTCTAGCTCCTGTGTCCTGTGACATGAGGGATACCATGAAAAAGTAATGACTTTTCTGTTTCTTTTTACGACTCATCATTCATCTGCTGGAAATTCAGACATATTGTTCTTTGATAAATGTAATAAATAACAATATAATATAATATATATGATACATATATAATATATAAAATATATATTATATATGATTATATTATATATATTATATATATTAACTATATATTATATATATATAATGTATAATATAATAATATAATATAATATAAAATATATAATATATATAATATAATATATATATATATTATATAATATACAATGTATAATATATATATATATATATGATATATAATATATATATGCATATATAATATATAATCTTACTTATTATAAAACGCAGATTGTGTGTGTGTGTGTGTGTGTGTGTGTAACGTTTATATATTGGATCGGATTTCCTACATTTTTCAACCGATTTCAACAAAACTTCACAGGACGACATAGAATTAACTTGTGGTGGTTCTAACAGCGCCAAAAATGGGAAAAATATAATTGTTTTTGCACAAAATCAATTTGAAAACACGATTAAGAGACATCGTGAAAATGGAAGGGGGACAATTCACATCAGGTTGTTTGTGTGTGTGGCTTCCTTTAAATATGGGATCGGATTTCCTATATTTTTCAGCCGATAAAACAAAACTTCACTTTTTTTTTTGGCAGGTAGTGTTTCTTATTCTCTTGCACACTTTTTTCTTTATTTTTAACATTCAGAATGCTTTAAAAATTCCATTTACAAGATAATTATTTATAATAAAATTCTATTCAATCAGGAGATTCATAACGATTGAAAACAATGTTTTTGTTTGAGTTTGGGTTTGACCAATTCGTAAAAAAAAAAAAACTAATTAAGACATGTGTCCGTCAACCTTAAACAATAAACTTTGTCAATTTTATTTTTCAGTCTTTATGATGGTGAATACTTGATCTATCTCTTACTGTTATATCCCCGGGCAACGCCGGGCTCTACTGCTAGCATATATAATAAAATATATAAAAATATATAAATATAACAATATATAAATATAACAATTATATATATATATATATATATATATATATATATATAACAATAATGAATGTATTAAATAATGAACCAGAATATTAAGTACGGATGTTGTTCTCTTTTGGTGGCAATATTATTATTATGTTTTCTTTTTCTTATTTACCACTATTAACCACTAAAAGTGTAACGCGTATAAACTAATTCTTCTCCAAGTCTGGCCGATAAAAAATTGGATAACAACTAATTAAATATATATTTCTGATATTCTGCCACACGGCTCGAATAACACTTGAATTTATTTTCTTTTATATATTAAATTTAAATATAAATCATCGACAAATAAAAAGTGTTAGGAGCAATAAAAATATGGCTGATCTTTTTTTTTTTAAAGTGAGGACTAAAATGAATATCAGGCTGTGTTTATTCGGCAGCAAGGCCTCTGATTTGAAAGTTTTGAGGAGCGTGGAACTAGCTGTTATTTTCCCAGCTATGGGCAAATAGCAAACGGCCCAACTGGGGTCAAATCACTACGAACTTGTAGAAATACATTTTTATAGTGAAGGTGCCTTCGTAGTTCGCATCTTAGACTATCCCTCTTGCTATCAACCATATATTCCTTTATATTAATTTATGGTTAGTACTATCTCCTTGCTTTCTTTTATTACGTTGTCTAGAAGTTTCCGGCTGTTTTTCTGTATATACCAGCAAAACGGTTTTATCTGTGTATCTTAATTACCAGGTTATGTATATATAAATCTTATATTTTGAAAGTAGCACAAGAAGAATGTTTACCCATCTATCAAGCTTTTTTTCATAGTAAAAAATATACCACCAATACATTTTTGCATGGAAGAAAATATTACCAGTAATATATTTTTGTAAAAGAAATTACTAATGCTCCCAAGAAAATTAAATTTCGGCATTAAATGACCCATTAGGAGTTGATATACCGTTAAACAACAACAACAACAAAAAACGACCTGAATAGTGATTACTACAAATATCCTCAGTTGTATGGTATATTTTTTGTTTATGCGTTGCATTCCTTAAAGACATAAATGATCATGTAGCTCCACAATTTCATATCCTTTGTAGATTAAATAATGTCTGTCCGCAATTCCTTGTTCTGCGACTCATTTATACAAGTTCGTTAGGTAGGTTACTCGTTGTTTCCCTCTGTCCCTCTTAACCCCAATATGCCCGTTTTTACCGTGATATTCAATTAGTACTAGGCACGGGAGCCACTCGATGTAGAGGGTTACAGAGTAAGAGGCACAGCTTATGCGGATATCTGGTTAACATAAGAGTTAACCTTAGACTTAAGATTGTAGAGATCGGAGAAACATCATCTTAAGAGCCGGTTCCACAGATGAGCAGTTCGCGGGAAGAAGTCGCTCGAGTGGAACTTACACCTCACCAATGGAATATAACATAACAGTGCAGTATTTTTCTCTTTGCTTCTAACGATTTATTTTCCTATTTCTTAATACTTTGTTTAGTTTCTGAAAGACATATTGTGCTATTCGAATGCGTCTTCTGTATTCGGTGTCACATTTTCCATCTTCCAAGAGTTAAATCTCTATAATTAGTTGACCAGTTCGTAGTTCGCATTTTGAACTATCCCTCTTGCTAGAAACGATATATTCCTTTATATTAATTTATGGTTAGTACTATCTTCTTGCTTTCTTTTATTACGTTGTCTAGTAGTTTCCGGCTGTTTTTCTGTATATACCAGCAAAACGGTTTTATCTGTGTATCTTAGTTACCAGGTTATGTAGATATAAATCTTATATTCTGAAAGTGGCACAAGAAGAACGCTTTCCCATCTATCATGCTTTAACCGAGACAAGAATCATTCTCTAAAATAGATCCGACAGCCCTTTAAGTTACAAGAATAATATGGAATGTCGAATATCAGATATTGTCAGGTCATGTAAAGAGATACTGTATTAGCACAAGATTACCATTTGTTGCATGTTATATGAGGTTTATTAATACTTCTATCAACATTGTAAACTCTAAATTATTCTTTCTTATATTGCATACTCGGTCTTCTAGCTAACAATAAACAGTCGTGACTGAAATACGACTTAAATTCTAAACTA